GGTGGGGGTGGGGAATGAGGGTGTTCCTGTTAAATGGATTCGGTGGCTCTGGAGTGGGCTCCCAAGTGATGCCCAGGCTGCCTGCTGTCCGGAGGACCGCACAAGGATCTAGACCAGGGAGTTGCAATCTGGGCTGCACAGAGTTCCCTAGGGAGCCTTTAAATTTCCCAATGCCCAGGCCACACTCGAAACTGGTTAAATCATCTCTAAGGGGAGGATCCAGGCATCATCAGGGTTTTTAAAGCTTCCCCCAGGTAATCCTGGTGTGGATGAAAACCTGGATGTAGGAGTCATCATCAGTAGCAGTGAGGAGAAAGGGTTGTGTGAGTAGTCAGAAAGGCATAATCTCTATAATAATTTAATTTTATACCTGGAAAGTAAAATAAATGAATAAATACTGTTTATAAACAAACACAGAAGGTAAAGCTTAATTAAAATCTTCCTGGCCCATAGGTACCAGCACATGAATCCTTTCTACAAAATTCCTGACTGGGATTGAATACTTCCAGTAAGAGAACACTCACTACCCCCTCCCTCTTGAAATCTCTCCCCATATTGAGATGGAATCTATTTCTGTGTAGTAGCTACCTATGAGTCCTTTGGAGGTACAGAGAATAAATTTAATATTTTTCTACACTGCTGTGCCTCAGATAATGGAAGGCAGCTATTAGTAGAGTAAGTGCTAGAAAAATATCTACTAATAAATGAGTTAGTTAAGGTTATTTTATTTGCAATTAACATAAATGGACTCTGCTAGTTTATGTCAAAAATTTTTATTTTAGAGACCGTGGGTGTTTGAGGCAGGAGGAACTGCACAGGAGGGATTCAGGGCAGCTCATGGAATTGCAAGAGTAGCAGCTGGAGGCTACTGCTTCTTGGTTGCCATTAATGACTTAGGCTACAAAGATGCAGCGAGCCCTAGGTCTCTCTGGTTCAAATTTCAAATAGTTGACAAGAAAAACCAATTGGCTAGATTGGCTCAGGTGCTTATGCGGGAACCAATCAGCTTTGGCCAGTATGACTGTCACCAGTAGTAAAAAGACAGGGCTGCTGGGAACCCACCCTGTGTCACCAGAAAAGGGAATCATGTCAGCTGCTACCCCTAGAGGGAGCTATTCCAATAAATTGTCAAAATCAAGAAAATAATTATGAGATTACTTTCCATCCATGATTCTCTCTGCCACCATTACACTCCACTAGACAGCTTACTGAGAGCCAACTAAGTAGAGAGTACTTGAAGGATGAATTCTGAAGACTCCTAAATATAAGGAGTGGGGAGGGAAATGGGTTGAGTTTATAAGGGCCTGGCTCCCAATCCCACACTCTCTCTCAGCACCTGGTCCTAGCTCCAGTGGGCACTGCAGCCGGGGAGTTAGGGAGCAAGTCTCTCATAGAGCCAGTCTTCCTCCCCTCTGTGGGTCATGGGCCCCAAAGGGGAGTCTCCTGTCTGGAGGCTCCGCCGAAAGACGATCCGGTCGTGCAGGCGGTTGGTTTGGCCTTGCCAGAATTCTATCACCTGTGGATATAGGATGTAGCCACCCCTACAAAGAGAAGCAGAGGTTTCGGGGCTCTGTGCATTTTTCCAACCATGTCACCCCAACCCCAGCCCCTGCCATTCCAGGGGCCCCTGAATGAAGTTCCTAGATATATCTGATGAGGGTTGACAGGGAGGAGTAAATATGTAATTCCATAGGCAGGGTAGCTTCAAGTAAACACAAGGGTCCTGGTGTCCCTTTCCACATGACTACCAGGTATCACTTACCAGTAATTTGGCTTTGGCACCTCTTGTTCCTTGTAGAGCTTCTTCAATTCCTCATTTTTCTTTCTCAGGTACTGTTCAGGGGAAGGACATGGAGGAAGGGCCAGATCCGGTCAATGATTCATTTAATAATCACTTACTGAGCATGTGCTCTGTGCCAGGTGCTGGGGACACAGGTGAGCAAGGCAGGCTGGCCTCTGTTCTCCGGGAACACAGTCCAAAGGGAGAGTCAGACAGATATCGGAGGCCCATTGGCCCCTTTCCCCACTCCCATATCCATTCCCCCCGGGAGACCATCCTTTTCACTTTGCTGGAGAGAGAGGGCCCTGGCATCCCTGGGAGACAGCCTCTGGGGATGAGCCCAGGCCCTCGCCACCTGGGGACAAAAAGGAAGCCCCACTCACCTCCCGATCAGGAATCACGGAACTCTGGCGACTGACCACAGCCCCAATTTGGCTGCTCTTGGGGCGGGAGTGGAAGTAGCATGTAGACTCCTCCTCTGACAGCTTCTTCACAGTGCCCTCCACACGCACCTGCTCAGAGATACCCTTGGCTACATGGCATTCAATGCTGCTCACCCTCCCCACCAGCACAGGCCCATTCCTCTCTGTCTTCTCTTGAGAGCTATTTGAGAGGCAGGTTTGCCCAGCCTGGGGACCTCCACTGGGCTCTTATATAAACTCAGTCCCCACCCAACATAACCCACCACAGGCTGTCCTGGGAATGCTCACTCACTTGACGGTTCAGGGGCTCCCAGTAGAAGACAAGGGAAGCAAAGGGATTAGAGTCCTGGAAATGAAAGAGAATCCATAAACAGCCATCAGGACAGTGGGGAGGACACCTCCGACATTCAGGGGGAAGGCAGGAAGTCTGCAGTGTGCAGGCCCACAGGAGAAGTATTTAGTGTAATATCTCATTTAAACCCTCAAAGGTAGGCCTACTTTTACAGTTGTGGAGACAGGCTCAGAGAGGTTAAGTAATGTGCCCAAGTTTACACAGCAAGTGGCAGAGCTGCACTGGAAACCTAAGCCAGTTGGACTCCAAAGTGTCGCTTGCCATTTCTCAAAGCCACAAATTTGCAAGTTCTCAGAAATGTATGTTTGGCTGGCATGGACTTAGGGAGGGTGACTCATTTGGATTTATGAATTTTATGCATATGAAGTGCCAGCTCTGTACTCTACACCAGAAGAGGTCCTGGGAGTATAACAGAGATACAACAGATGCAGCCTCTGCCCCTACAAAGCTTACTATTTCACAGAGGACACAAGCATTAATCACATAATCATATAAATGCAGTTAGAAACTGAAAAAATGGCAGGAAAGTTGCTAGTTACAATGACAGCAAACAACATGAGTGGCTGACTCTGTAGGAGTTGAGGAGGCTTTTTTGAGGAGGTAACACTGGGGCTGAGACTGAAGGGATAGGAGTTACTTAGGTAAACAGATGAAGAGGTGGGGGTGGCCGGAGGGAGCACCCCTGCAGGCACTGCAAGGAGAATGGCGAGTGCAACGGCCCATAGGCAGGGTGGCGCTTGGGCACAGGTCGCAGTGGGTTGGGGTGGGGGGGTAAGAGAAAGTGACCGATGAGGCAAGGGCTGGACTCTGCAGCCCGGAGGATTTACTGTGAACCCTCACCAGGTCTTTTCCCTTTCGGCTCTCGAAGTTAGTGAAGAAGCGGAAGCCATCCTTGCCAAAGCCCTTCAGCAGCACCATGCGCGCAGAGGGCTTCCCATCTCTGGGACAAAGAGCAGAGTGCGGCGGTCAGAGCCCATTTCAATGTCCTCGCTGCTGCCCCTCCCCATAGGATGTCTGAGCATCCCTACAGCTGTGTCCCCTTATTCTGCACTGTCTGGGGACTCAGGCCACCCATTCCCACTTGCCCCTGGGGATTTGTCCTGAAGGTACAATATGACACTGATGCCCAGTGCTCTGTTAGGAACTGAACTGAGTCCCCCTAAAATTCTATGTTGATTGTCTAGCCCCAATGTGAGTATTTGGAGATTGGGCCTTTAGGGAAGTAAGTAAGGTTAAATAAGGTCCTAAGGGTGGCACTCCAATCCAAAAGGACTGGTGTCCTTATAAGAGGAAGAAACACCAAAGATCTCTCACTTCCTCTCTCTATGTGCACAAAAGAAAGGCCATGTGAGGACACAGCAAAAAGGCAGTCATCTGCAAGCCATGAAGGCAGACCTTACTAACCAACTCTGACAGCACCTTAATCTTGTAGTTTCCAGAACTGTGAGAAAATACATTTTGCTTGTTTAAGCCACCCAGTCTGTGGTACTTTGTTATGGCAGCCGTAGCAAAGTAACGAGGCTCTTCTTAAGGCAGCAACAAACAATAATGCAATCAGCCAGTGCTTAGGGACCACAGAAGCTGTAGTTATATCAGATCCTCTGCTCAGGGCTCTGGGGGATACCCAGGGCACAGCACAAGAGCCCTGCTTTCAAGGCCTTACATTTTAGTGAGGGGAGACAAGAAGAGTTGGATAAGAGGCTAATATGAGAGATGCCTCAATGACTAATTATCAAGTGAATGATACAGCCAAGCATTGTATACATTTTGAGAGAGAAAGAGGGAAAGAGCTTCATGAAGAGGTCCCAGGAGATACAGCTCTTAAAGAGCACCTAGGAATAAGGTAGGTGGGGAGATAAGGGAGGCAAGGGTGTATGGGGGGGGGGCGCATCAAGGGCAGAGATGAATGAGGCACTGCATTTCACAACTGAAATATAATTGAGTGAAGTGTGATCTTTGGTTTACAGGCCCAGAGAGGACAAGTAACTTGCCTGAGGCCACACAGCATGTTAATAAAAGAGCTAGAACCATAAAGTTGTCATCCATCAAATTGAGAGCTTCTTAAGTATCCTACTTCATCTGTACCTACCCACAGAAGGGCCCAAGGCTATGCCCACCTGGTACAGGTAGCCAGACACATGGCGTTGGCTTCCCGTATCTTAGAACACTGAACAGCATCTTCGAACCAAGCAGTAAACTGCTTTATGGGGTCCAGAGAGGTCAACTGATCCTCCTCAAATGCCTGGGAAGGGAGAGTTTTATTTCATTTAATAAACACATATATTGCTTAATGTGTACAAAGAGCTATTCTAGGCACTTTTTAAATATTAAATCACTTAGTCCTCATAACAAAAATCAGTATCTAGGAAGTAGGTTCTGTTAGCCACACATTACAGGTGAGGACACAGGCATAAGAAAGTAGACTGACTTGCTGGGTCCCGCAACCAGTGATGGATGATGAATCGGGGTTTCATGTCATGGGTGTCAAACATATCACTTGAAAAGCCTTAAAAAAAGGACAGATTCTGGTCTCCGCCCTTGTACATTCTCATTCACTAGGTCTAAGGTTTAATGGAAAACCGCATGTTTAACAAGAATTTCTAGAAATGCTCACATGCAACCAGAGGCTTTGGGCCCCAATTCCAAAACAGTTCTCTTGGTTCCTCTCAAGAGGGGGGGAAAGAAAACTAACTCCAAGTGGTAAGCGAAGGAAATGAAGGCAGGAAGGAGCTAGGAGGGTTCCCCCTCCTCCTCCAGTGAGTTAGCCCCCTCCCCCATGTTTTACTTATCAAACATTTATACGCTGACTGTCCCTGCTCTGAGTACTTTACAAACATCTGGGTGCACCACATTCCTGAGGTAGGTACTGTCACTGCACAGGTGAGGAAACTGAGGCCCAGAGAGGTTAAGTAAGCTGCCTACCTTAAGGTGATGTACCCCGTGAACGGCAGGATTCCAGCCCTGGCAGGCTCGAGACCGTGCCCTTACCCACCACCACCTGCCTTCCGAACCCATCTTCGTCTAGTTTACCCAGGACCTCTCCCCCGCTGGTTGTCTTTGAACCCAGTTTTCTCACTGGGATGACCCCAAGCCCCCAGGTCCTACGGGGTCAAAAACCCCGTGGGGCTCCTTCCCCTCCCCCTCCCCTCCTCAGATGACTTGCAACCCTCTATTCTCCGCCCCTGCGGAGACCCTGTCCGGCGACTGCACCTCTCGGTCCCCGCGGTAACTCATGCGCATCGGTCCCAGGTCCATGACTGTACGGCTGCACAGGTGACGAAGGTAGTGGGGCCACTCGGCCGGTCGCCCAAATGTCACTGTGACGCCCCGCAGCCCACACGTCATGGGGCCGTCGGCCACGTGACCCAGCGTCGCCCGGCGCCAGGTTCCGTTGCGTTCGGAACCAGTTTCTCGGTCCAGAGTCTATTCCCGGGAAGGAAGAATTTGTCAGTCGCCAAACCCAGACCCCTTAATCCCTCGGAGCCAATGGGAGCCCAGGGTCGGAGGAGGGAGACAGGCGCTGGGGGCCATTGGTCGGAGTTTTCCGAAGCGAGGCCAATTAGAACGAGAACAGAGGAACCCAGCGGCCAATGGGCGGCGCCTCCGGGGGCGGGAGCAGGGAGACAAGGAAATTCTGTCACCACCGTTAACATGCACGTGGAGGTTTGTTAAAGATATAGGGACTGCTGCGGCGCAGGCCGGGGGTTGGGGATGAGCCGCCGGGGGTTTGAGGGGAGTGGGCAGTATTAACTGGCTGGTTCCTAGTAGGTGCCTGAAGGCGAGCCTAGTACGGGAAGTACCCCCTAGGGGGGAGGCTGTTGTTCTGGGAAAGGACAAATGGAAAATGGAATTAGGGGCCAGACCCTGAGGCAAGGTGATGGGGAGACACAGAAAAAGGGGGCATCTGGTTTGGGGAAGAAACTGAGGCTCGAGAGTGGGAGAGGCTGAAGTGACTTGCGATCACTCCAAATAGGTGCTGTGTAGTGTGTATATATATATGTATGGGGGGGGG